TCATCTTGCCAGGGATTTTGCACTCCTTGCTGCCCAACTCCTGGTACTTATCCCAGTCGTCCTTCCGAATGTCGGCCTGGCTGTGCTCGAAAACGTACCGCTGGGCCCTGGAGGTCTGGCGATCGTCCAGGGCGCCATCCTCCTCCGACTTGGCGTCCTCGGCCTCGTTCACGCTCTTGACTGCCTTCTCGGGAGCTGCGAGTGCGGACGCGTGCCACTTGGCCCCTGCTGGAGCAGCCGCTGGTTTCCTGACAGGCTTGCCGCCCTTCGCGGCCTTGATCACTTTTTTCGGCCCCATGTGGAAACAGCTTCAGTGGACAAATCCTCGGACCGATGGGAAACTCAGCAACAAAGTCCGATGGTGGTTCGGAGCCGTCTGAGCCATAACAACACAATGCAACGGAGGGGAGGATGGGGAAGGGGTCTCAAGGACCCCTTGGACAAGCCCGAGCTGGGCCGCAGGGAGCCAGAACGCTGTTGCAGGACGTAGCATAGCATAATTTGGCTCGGCATAGCTTGGCATGGCGCATCATATCATAGCTTGGTATGTTAGCCTTTTCCTATACACCCCCATCTCGACGCTGAACCCTCAGCCGAATCAACCACCAGCAAAGCAGTTATAGGCGCTGGAAAAACACAGCATAGCATACGACACATACGACTGCAGACCAAGTACCAACAACGATGCTGCAATGGCATAGCATATGACATCATATCATATCGATGCTTGATTGTTTTTGTTTGTTTGTTTGTTTGGTTGTTTGTTTGGTTGGTTTGTTGGTTAGTTGTCTTTTTGTTTGTTTGTTTGTTTGTTTAGTTGTTTGTTTGTTTGTTTGTTTGTAATGTTTGTTTGTCACAGCGCCATCATCCGTCGCAGCGGTGGGGCCTGACCATGCCCTCAGCCTCCTCAAACGCTCGGGCGCTCAGAGTCCAAGGGGCATCCAAACAGTCGAAGGCGAACGTTTTTTTTCAATGGCTACAATGAGAGGCGCTGCGCAAATTGCACGTCACACTGTGCACCGCACTGAAAGATGTCTGACAGATTCATCAGCACGAGTACATCCCTGTACTTCAAAAGAATCACACCCAAGAGAAACTATGCGTAGTAGAGACCACTTCGTGACAATACATCTGTTGTGTGCGTGGCAATGCATATCTTGTGTGCGTGACAATACATATGTTGTGTGTGACGACTGGTGTGGTGGTCTCTACTTCATGCGATCACGCATGTCCAAACACTTCTGCTTGGTCATGGTGCCGCCATCGATGGCAGCGTACATCTTGCGCATATCAGCGGCTAGAGAATCACCCCAAAGTCTCACCCTGGCTGACCAGATGCAGACGCGCCTCAAAGAGCCATCCGCCTGGTACTCCCGCGCCGTGAGCTCACAGCGGGGGTCGCTCTCAGCCGTGGGCCCAGCCATGCTCGGGCGGCGCAGCAGGCCCGCGCGAGGGGGCACCGACGGGCTCTCATGGATAGTAGCCTTCATCTCGGTGTCCTTCTTCGCCACGGCCTTGGGCTTGGGCTTGGGCTTGGGCTTGGGCTTGGCCTTGGCCTTGCCCTTGCCCTTGCCCGAACTCCTGCCCGCGAGGGCCGTGGATTTCCTCCGCTTGGGCCGCGGGTCCAGGACGTGGCCGTCGCTCTCCTGGTCGCCCTCGCCGTCGTCGTCACCCTGGTCGTAGCTCTCCTGGCCGCCCTGGCAGTCGGAGCCACCGACGAGAGGGAAGCCGTCCTCGCCGTACACCGCGGTGCTCGGGATCGACGCCGCACTGCCACTGGAACGGATGCTGAGCTGCATCTGCGCCAGGATCGCGGTGGCATTCGTGAAAATCTTCGGGTAGCCGTCGGCGTCTAAGTCCGTGTCCTGGGGCAGGTCGAGCTTGGGGATATCGATATCCGCGCGGTCACGATCGCTGCGTGGCGAAGGCAGCGGCGAAGGCAGCGGCGATTGAAGATCGGGCGTAGATGAGCTATCTAACTCCATCTTGTCTAGCAGGCCTTTGATGATGATGGTATCTGACGAGCCGCACGCACGTCTGAACCCTCCGACCTTTGACCGTTTACCATTCTGTGGGCCCTGGCTGCACGATTCACGCTTCATCTCCCGAAGAACTGCAAGACAGTGTCGCGCATGTTCCGTCACTTGGTGGAAATACACAGGCCCATTGATCTCCATCGGGAGGCTGGAGCTGCAACTTGATGTCAGACAAACTTCTAACTTGTTAGGATAAACCACTCCGTTTCTCACGCCTTTCTTGAAGAGACTCTCAAGCAGCGGGCACAGACGGACGACCATGTTTGGAGTAACCTGATGCATGCCATTCACAAGCTTCGGGCCGAGGACATGATGAATCGAAACTCCTTGTGTAAATCCCACAAGCCCTCTGGGCGTAGGTGGTTTAGGGAGTTTCCTCTTCCACCCCACCTTCTTCCCCTTCGGGTAGGGGATTACCCCTCCCCCTACTCCCTGGACGGGGGGCGCGGCGATGCGCTGGAGCGTCCAAGATGGCCCAAGACTGCTCCAAGAGCGCCTGGGAAATCCCTAGATGACCTCCAAGATGGCTCAAGATGGGCCATCATGATGGCTCTGCAGATGCTCCAAGAGGCCCCAAGATCGCCCCAAGACGGCTCCAAGAGGCTAAATAGCTCCCCAAGGAGTGCTTCAAGATGATAACATCCTTGAAAACCCTAGGGGAAACCAATGATGGTTGCCTTCTCTCCTTTTCGCTTCCGATGGCCTTCCGAGGCCCAAGATGGCTTCAAGAGGGCCCAAGGTGGCCCCAAGAGGGGCCCAAGATGGCCCCAAGACGGCCCCAAAAACGCCCAAGGCGCTACAAGAGGTCCCCAAGATGGGTCCAGGATGCTATTTTGGGGGCTCCCGAGGGGCGGTGCTAACTAAGGAACATCCTTTCTTTGATCGATCGCCCCCAAGAGGCGCCCAGGAGGCCCCAAGAGGCGCCAAGATGTCCCCAAGAGGCCCCCCCCCGACGCACTCAAGACGCCCAAGAGCCCCCCAGGACCGCCAAGAGACCCCCCAGACGTCCCAAGATGCCTCCAAGCAACGCCCAAGAGATATCCCAAGAGATATCCCAAGAGGGGCTGGTGGGGATACGCGTAGCGTCTAGAATTCAGATATACACTCAATGAAATCTTGATCGGTGACGTTTGGGTTGGCAAGGGCGCGCGGCCTCCTCCCTGCAGCAGCCATGGCTGCCTGGAACCAAAAAGAGCTAGCTATAGGATGTGACGCGTGGGATTGTTGAAACTTCACTGCTGTCAAGCGAGAGCAAGAGAGAGAGAGAGAGAGAGAGGATGACAGAGGGTGGATATTGGAAAGAGACCGAATCGCGCACACGTAATCCCTGTGCATCTAGATCAGTTCGCCACTACGGAGAGATCACCTACACACATATATATATATATATATATATATATATACATTATCATACGCACCTCTCCGAGGGAGTAGAGCTCAGAGGGGATTAATGCGTCCGTGCGTGCGTCCGTCTTTGATTTTTCTGGCCGTTTCGCTCGGGACATCCTCGAAATTCTGAAAATCGGTGGCACCCCTCACGCAGATCGTGAAGGAGAGGTCCAAAAACACATAAGAATTTCAACATTTTAACATAAAACCTTCAAAAAACACATTATAATTTCAATAATTTTGACCCCGATTCTCAGAGAATGGCGGTTTCGCCTGAGACATCCTCCCAAAATCGAGCCCCAGACCCCTCCTCGGAGCCTCCTGGGGGCCTCCTGGAACCTCCTGGGGCCTCCTGGGGCTTTCTGGACCTTCTGGTACCCCAGACCCCGCCTCGGAGCCTCCTGGAGTTCTCCTGGGCCTGCTGAGGCCGCCTGGGGCCTCCTGGGGCCTCCTGGGGCTTCAGAACTACATGCGCACACAGAGACACAAATCACGCCCAACACATCACACGCTAGACAAACATAACATACACACACACAACACCGACAACACACAAAAAGCACGCACCACACAAAGCACACATCACACACACACACACACACACACATTCACAATCCTGGGGCCTCCTGGAGCCTCTTCTGGTATCCAAGTCGGGCCTCCTGAGGCTTCCTGGGGGGCCCTGGTACACACATCGCAAGGTGTGGCAACCCCACTTGCGCTCGAGTGCGACTTCGCTGTTGCATGTCACTCCTGCTTCAAACGCCCCTTCAGCTTGTTGTATGAGCCTGGGCACACACGTGCCACTTGTATATATGTGTGTATATATATGTGTGTATATATGTATAGATGTATGTATGCACACGGATTGCAACCGCTCTTCCGAAGGGTCGTCTCCGAGGGGCCTCTGCGAGAGGCAATGGCAAGGGGTAGAAACACCGCGCGCCCCACGCCTGGAGCGCCATGTTTGTGAGTTCGTATCGTGGGTGCGACCGCTTAGGTGGTACCCTATGGGCGGGGTCCTATGGGCAAGGCCTCATGGGCGGAACCTTGTGGTTGGGATCATATGGGTGGAACCCTAAGGTTAGGGCCTTATGGGTGGGGCCCAAACGCGTTGGTAGATTTTTGGTAGATTTTTGGTAGATTTTTGGTAGACACAAAAATCTACCAAAAATCTACCAAACACACTATGTGCATTGCCCATAGCGCCAATAGCTTCTGCACTTAGATTTCCACTCGATTCTAAGGGGAATGCCCCTTATCTTTCCTTTTGTGCGCCCTCAGAAACATAACCTTAACTTTTCTTTAGATTTCTGAGGGCACCGGATGGTCAGGGTCCTCCTCCTCCTCCTCCTCCTTTTCCTCCTCCTCCTCCTCCTCCTCCTCCTCATCATCATCATCATCATCATCATCACCCTCTTTTTCCTCCTCCTCCTCCTCCTCCTCCTCCTCCTCCTCCTCCTCCTCCTCCTCCTCCTCCTCCTCCTCCTCCCCCCTCTGCGCGTGGCCGACGCTGGCTGCAGGTCTCCCCCCCCTCCCCCCGCGCGGCGCGGCTCGTCCGCCCGGGAGGGGCGGCGCCCCTGCTGGCCCAGCGCCTGCTGCCCGAGCGGCGGCCGCTGGCCCGGCTGCTGCCCCAGCAGGCCCCCGGGGCCGTCGTGCGAGAAGCGGCACCTGCCCGCGCGAGGTCGGCCCCAGCCTCCGCCTCCTCCTCCTCCTCCTCCTCCTCCTCCTCCTCCTCCTCCTCCCCTCCTCCTCCTCCTCCTCCTCCTCCTCCTCCTCCTCCTCCTCCTCCTCCTCCTCCTCCTCCTGGGGAGCCTCGCAGGGCGCCTCCGCGCTGCCCGTCTGGCGCGTCCAGGGCCCTTCCTTTTTGGCCTCCGGGCCTGGTGACGTACCCAGACCCCCTCGGGTCATTAAAAGAATCATATCGGGAGGTTTCTCGCTATTTCCGGCCTCGGGGGGCCCTCGCCGGGCCCCGGGCCGTCAAAAAACGACTCATGGATACAAAACCGGTCCAGGGGAATGGGTCGAGACCTCCTGGGGTCGACGTAATGAACAAATCATGACGTCGGGGGTCTGGGTAACAAGTAGTCAGAAGACGATTTTCCGATGATGAATTGCCTATGAAAACTTATGGTTCAAACATTTCCTAATTTGTTCCTCCACGATTCGCCTCTAGGAAGACATGCCCGACCTAATCCTGGGGCCAGATGCGCTGGTCTTCACATGTGTAGCAGGCGCGCCTGCGGAACGCGATGTCCTATAGGACCCCCTCGACTGGGGGATGTGTGGACACATCTGTGCCACAAGGGGGCCGAGACGAGGTCCATGCCCACCGCCTCCCGAGGCCCAGCCGAACCGGTCCCCTCGGCGGTGGATTTTTGCACACATCCCGGCACAGGAGTCTTGGGCGGTGCAAGTCGAACAATTGATGTACCCAGGCATCCGCCGATACGAGTTTCCCGATGCGCGGCCCGAAGATGTCCCGACCCCATCCCTGGGGCGAACGTTAGGTCGGGTATGCCCTCCTATAGGCGGATTT